CAAGATACGTATCTGCATAATTCCTTTCTTTAAAGGTCCATTTTGGTTTATTTCCTCTTCCTTTCCTTTCTTTATCACAATCTGCATGAGACTTTCCTGTAAGGGCTAGAAATAATTTTTTCTCTTATTGCTTCCCCATTTGCCTCCTCATTCTCTGATACTGTGCCCTTATTAGTTGGTATGCTCTGTCTCCCACTTGTAAAGCAAAAGGAGTATTAGCTACCCTGCATATTCCCCAGCCTGCTGATGATATGGAAGCCAGAATTAAATGACTTTGTAAAGGGCAGAGCTGGCTTTCACAGGTACACATGGAGAGAAATGCAGAGAAAGAAAGAAGCACCTTGAGGCAGTGGGCTGATACTTACAATATTACTTCTGATGCTGAACAGGAATACTTTGCATTAAGGCACTCTGTTCCCTGAAATATGACTGATTTTTTGGCTGTGCAGAAATACAGGGATCTTAATAATGCATTTTGGGGGGGCTGAGAAAGATAGACAAATTTGAAAAATCTAAATAAGTTGGACAGAGAAGTCTTTCTTAGAAAAGTCTTCATTTCTCTCTCTTTACTGGATTTGCAAAAATTCAAATTAACTTATATGTGCATTTAATCGCAAGCGAAACCTGTGGAACTTTCTAGTGCAAACCTAGACCCCTACCTTATTTCTAGCAAACATAATCAAAACCCAGTGATATTCCACTAAAACTTAGCTACCTTTATTTCACTTTCAAAATCAAACTATGAAAGACACACAAAGCAATAGAGATGATCAAAATCAGCACTTTCTGAGGAGTGTTCTTTTTCAAGACTTCCACTGTGATTGAAACAAAAGGGTTTTGATTTGCACCTACTAGGGAAGAACACATGAATTTAAAATCTTCACTACACCTGCTTGAACCAGTGGAGTCACGCTGAGGTACCTTTGCACAGGCATAACTCTGCAGCCACCAACACACCTCCCGTCAATGACCCTACAAAGCACGCGAGGATGCTGTTGTGACATAGCTACCCGAACTGGGGCGTGCCAAGAGCTTGCTTAGATACGTGCTCCATCTGCTGCCGTCTTTAACGTTGCTTCCCTCTCTCGCAGCCCCAGCAAGAAAACTTATTAATTCCCAGACTAAGCTCTGACCTCCCTGTCAATCTGAACCAAGCTACGAGCTGGAAAGGCAAAGGCAGTGAGTCTCCGCTTCTCTTTTAGCCAGTGAAGTTACGGCTCCACTGCCTTCGAGAAAGCACCATCTGCTCTTTTAGCACAGAAACACTGTAGTTTATTTATTATGATGCCATAAACTTAATTTCACCTAAAGTCTTGATATGCTGTATAGACCAACAGTACATACAGGGGACATCCTGCTGCTACCAAGCTGTGCACGATCTACTTGTAATGAATGAGCAGAGCTAGAAAGAGACCCAACCATGTAATGTCTGGGCAATTCAAGGATAAACAACATCTCCCTGGTGATTCATGCAACGCCTTTGCCAAATGTTTCATCTAATACGGAGCAGAATCTTAGGAAAAAAATCACCCTTTCCTTTTCTCCTGTAATACAGTCACCTTGATGCTCATCTCGTAAATCCCTGTGTTACCCTGAGATACCTCCCTTTCCTCAGCGTGGCTGAGATTCTGGAATTGCTTTTCATCACCACCTCCCATGACAGCACGCTGGACTAGAGGTTTAGGTGCCAAACCACTGGCTTCTAGCACCATTTTAGATGCTATAGGGTACCGGGGAGATCTGCATGGGGCTGAAAGACAAGGCATCGGATTCCCAGGAGTAATGGTAACCTTAAATGCAGGTAGGCATCCTGAGATGGCACCACATATGTTAAAATAGCAGGCATCTGCTGCAATACTAAGATACCTAAATTTGCTGCTAAGTAGCAAGCAGGGATGTTGTTACAACCGCTACCAAAATAGGCACCCTGTGTGCAAGGTACATGGCATAATTTTCAATATCTAACAGTAGGCAGGCTTCAGCGATGGGTTGTGGAAAACCACTCAAGAGGTCCTGAAATATGTTAGAGCCCTCGTACTGACAGTGAGAGCCAGTGAAAAACAATTGCTCCCAGTAACGGTGGAAAGACTTCATGCTGAAAAATGAACTTGTTATCATCTCACACAGAAGATGTGACAGTCATCCCATGTCTCAAAGAGCTCTTGCTACTCAAAATGCCCTGCCTCTCCTGCCAGAAGCACAACTATCCATTCCAGTCCAGAAAATGCAGAGAAAGTACCTGCTGCCCTCAACTGAAATGTGACAATATCACAAACCTGCAGCCTAGAGATTGGCCTGATACCTCTAAACAATATTGTCATATCTACATACAGCACGATTTCCAAGTCCAGGTTGTCAAACCTTTCTGCAACTTTTCTCATATTAAACGTGTTGTTCCAAAAACACAAACACGAGACACAGCAAAGACAGATGGTGAAGCACACTGGAAGCAAAACACTCTTTTACAAGTTCAGAGCTGTAGAAATCATGGCTAGTGCCCAGCTCCTTTTTATTAGATAAGACTGTTGTAAACGTCAGTCTTCCAGAGTAGCACAACAGGAGGATTTGCAAAAAAAAAAACCCATTAAGTCTTGAGGGCTTGATGCCCCACCACGTGTTCCCTGGAGGCACCATTTCAGACTAGCTCAGGGCTGGCCCCAGGTACTGAATGCCCATTAGCACCTGCCCCCTGGTAGCTACAAACCTTAACTGCACATTTCAGTTCCGTTTTCTCTGAAATTAATCAGGTGCGTGTTCACCAAAACCAACTCATGATGTAAATCAAAGCACAGCAAGGTGGGGACAACTTGGGGATTCCCTTTGGATCAGGAGCCCCTTTCTGAGCTGAGATGCCAACTTTCAGAGAGCCATCCTGGGCTGAGAGCCTCTCGCTCTCTCTCTGAGGGTTGGATGAAATCTCCCTGCCTTTAGAGGGCTGTCTCAGCTGCCTGTCCTCCCTGGGGAGATGGAAGCTTTCTTCAGAATGGTGGCCTGTTGGTGCAAAGTTTTTAATTCAGTTAATAATAATGTTCCAGCCCCAACCTACGCTGCTGAGAAATATCAAATCTTCACTGAGAAAGAAAAACAAAAAACCCAAATCTCTGTAGGCTCTAGTAAGAATGAGTGCTATTACCTTCAGCTCTCCAAAGCTGTCTGCAATTTTTGTTGTATTTTAAGACTTTCTCTTCAGAATGTCCAAAATAAAAGCGGCACAGAAGGAGACGCGGGAGAAGACCCTTCTGCTGCTCAGTGCCTCTGAAGGGCAGAGAGGGCTGGGAAGCTAACCACAGGCAGAGCACCGCTGACTTGCTCCCAGGAAGTCTGCCTTTTATTGGTATTCTTGGCTGCTCTTGACTGTACTAACTGATCAGAGAAACCGCACAATTCTGAAAAGCAATTCATCCCGTCTGAATGGCAGGTATTCATACTGGAGAGGATCTATTTGTGCCCATTCATATCCTCATTCAAAAGCATTTCTTCATCTCTAAAAGGCATTCTTGATAAGATCATTAAAAAGCAAATAATCAATGCATAAGACATTTACTTCAAAGCTCAATCAAAAACTACAGAAGCAGGTAAATTATTTGAACGTTTATCTCCATCTCATTTTGTTATTTGCACTTATTTCTGGCTCCAGAAGCAACTTTGAAACTGAGCTTTTAAGGGACACCCTCTCCTGAAAGAGACCGAGTTTCTCTTAAATTTTTGCTCAACTCCTCAACCCGAGCTCAGGTTAGACTCAGCTCTTCCCTGAGGGTTAAGGACACACCTGCCTGATAAAAGAAAGCACTGAGGGCAATATTCATGAGCTACTTCATCTCTCCAGAGCAGGGAGCAAGCCCATAGAGCACTCAGGATTTGATAAGAGAACACCTTCAGAGAACGCTTTACTATTCATCAATTAATTTTTACAAAGGACTTTGCAGATGAACATCAGTTTTCAAATAGTTATTGTGAGCCACTGTGAGGCAAGGAGTGCTCAAATCCAGGAGCAGGGAAAAAGGCTGGAAAATTCTAAATGCAAACCTGAGTTAAGGAGCAGAAAACAACGGTTGCAGAAAAGAGGGACGGGAGGTAACTAATACAGTTTCTGTAGGAACTGCTCACAGATCTGGGTGTGAAGGGAAGCAGAGAAGGAGGGAAAAATGAAAGAAAACTACAGCCGGTTAAGCCTTGCAGAGAAAAGATAAGGGCAGCAGAAAAGAAGAATGATTTAATGCTAGCTAAAGTGATTACAGAGAACAAAAGGGCTCCTATAAATATACTGTGGCTGTGAAGGGGGAAAAAATAGCAGTGAGAAATTATGAGTGTTAATAAATAAGGAGGGAGACAATACAAAAGATTTCCATAAAGTGGCTGAGCACGATTGCTATCTTAAAAATCCCAAGTCATTGATAGAAAAACATTTTTCCAAGAGGTACAGGCAATTAGGAAATTCGTAGATTCTTGTAAACATTGTATTTCCAATAAATGAGAAAAAAAAAGGGTGTAGAAAACATAAGTAAAAAGCCTCACTTATGCCAGTGACTTAATGATAATTTCATCAAGGAACTCTTTCTGAATGAGTGGCTTTTTTCAGCTCTACAAAACTGGACAGCATCCATGGAGCGATAATACTGGGTTTGTTTAAACCCTTTGGCATAGCGTAAAACCACCAATAAAAAATACATATAAATCAAGAAAAACAGTAGCTCATCAATAGATAATACTGAACGCCATCTCATCTCAGACAAACTCCATTACCACTGGTTTCAACAAGAGTCCTGTGTGTTCTTTAAATCCAGTCTTTCAATGCAGATCAAAACTAAACCAAAGGAGTAAATTTGCATTTGACAAAGCACGGACATGACAATACAATAGTAAAACATTAATAGTTTCAAAGATTCAGCTGCCCCGGTGACCTCGGGCGATGCTCTCCCCTGGACTGCAAGCAGGATGCCACACCTGAAAGCCAAGATTTGCCCAAGTTTTCTGTCTGCCACTTGGTAACCAGACGCTACGGCCATCCAGCGGATAGACACGCTGCCCGCACTGCTTGCGCATCGCCGCAGGCGGCTCTCTGGCTGTGCCAAGTGTGCCCAGGCACAGGCACCCCCTGTCCACCTTGCAGCAGCCCTGCCAAGCCTTCTCCTCTGCAAGTCACACACTGCGGGATTTGCAGGTACAAAGCAGAAAACACAGATGCCTCTCAGGCAGCAAAAAGGCATGAGTAGTTACCAGCAAAACACT